GTGGAGTTAGCACTGTGACAGTGGAGTTAGACTGTGACATTGGAGTTAGCACTGTGACAGTGGAGTTAGCACTGTGACATTGGAGTTAGTACTGTGACAGTGGAATTAGCACTGTGAAAGTGGATTTAGCACTGTGAAAGTGGAGTTAGTACTGTGAAAGTAGAGTTAGTACTGTGAAAGTAGAGTTAGTACTGTGAAAGTAGAGTTAGTACTGTGAAAGTAGAGTTAGTACTGTGACAGTAGAGTTAGCACTGTGACATTGGACTTAGCACTGTGACATTGGACTTGGAGTTAGCACTGTGACAGTGGAGTTAGCACTGTGACAGTGGAGTTAGACTGTGACAGTGGAGTTAGTACTCTGACAGTAGAACAGTAGCGTTAGTATGTGACAGTTTAGTTAGCACTGTGACAGTAGAGTTAGTATGTGACAGTATATTTAGCACTGTGACATTGGAGTTAGTACTGTGAAAGTGGATTTAGTACTGTGAAAGTGGAGTTAGTACTGTGACAGTAGAACAGTAGAGTTAGTATGTGACAGTATAGTTAGCACTGTGACATTGGAGTTAGTACTGTGAAAGTGCATCTAGCACTGTGAAAGTGGAGTTAGTACTGTGAAAGTGCATCTAGCACTGTGAAAGTGGAGTTAGTACTGTGAAAGTGGAGTTAGTACTGTGAAAGTGGAGTTAGTACTGTGACAGTAGAGTTAGTACTGTGACAGTAGAGTTAGTTCTGTGACAGTTTAGTTAGCACTGTGACAGTGGAGTTAGCACTGTGACATTGGAGTTAGTACTGTGAAAGTGGATTTAGCACTGAAAGTGGAGTTAGTACTGTGAAAGTGGAGTTAGTACTGTGACATTGGAGTTAGCACTGTGACAGTGGAGTTAGTACTGTGACATTGGAGTTAGTACTGTGAAAGTGGATTTAGCACTGTGACAGTGGAGTTAGCACTGTGACAGTGGAGTTAGCACTGTGACAGTGGAGTTAGCACTGTGACAGTGGAGTTAGCACTGTGACAGTGGAGTTAGCACTGTGACATTGGAGTTAGCACTGTGACATTGGAGTTAG